CACTGAGCCTGAGTGGACACCTGTGGCCCGTGAAAGCAACTTGAGATAGGGGTGGGGGAAAGGGACACTAAGGAAGTCAAGCCCCAGCTGTGTCCTCCTTCAAGCAGCCGTGACCTTGGGTGTGTCCTTGAGCCTCCTCAAGCCTAAGGTTTCTCAGCAGGTAAGTGTCAGTGGAAGCCAAGTTTACCTTCATGGAGCTAGCTCTTCTTCCTGAACTAGCACAGTGCTTCTGGAACTTTCAAGCCCTTTGTCCAGGTGGCCCAGGAAGCTCAGGAGAGATGATTTCCAGGAAAGGATTTTCTTCAGGTTGGTTGAGTTATCACTGCCACCAACTGCCGAACTTCAGAGCCTGCTTTGTCCACACCTGTTGGAGCAGTCCAGGGGGTTGAGCCTGTGCCCCAGGCCCTGAGGATGGCTGACGCAGTATCCCAGGCTGGGCACAAACCAACTCCCTTTTCCCACCAGGATGTGTGGCCAAACTGCCCCCTGGTGTCCAGACACCACCCAAGCCAGAGGGGACCATGCCTGCCCAAGGGGGGGGGGCTCCTGCAGCGCCTTGGTCTGCATGGAAGCCCGATGTGGGGGGGGGGGTTCGTTTGTGAGAGAGTGGGGGGCTGAGGGCCCGTTTGGGGAGACCTTAGAAAGGAGCGCTGCGGGGGGGCTTGCTCTCACTCTTTGTTGTCAGAACTGCTCTGGTCAGCAGATCCGCCACTGGCTGGACCTTCGAGGGTTGGGGCTGTGACCTCAGCTGAGGCCACCCTGCCAGTGCCTCCAGCTGCAGCTTCGCTCATACCACTGGTCAGCAACTGGACATCCTCCCTTTCTCTCTATCCTGTTGGCTCAAATAATCTTTTTATTTTCTTTTGTTGCTGTGCATAAAGCCCCATTTATGGTGGCAAGTGGCTGGACCCAAAACAGATGAGAAAAATTCAGACCTGGTGACAGTTTTTGGGCCTGGTCATGGGTTTACTTTCAAGAGCAGAGTCCCATGAGTTCCAAGAAGCTCGAAGGCAAAACTGGCAAACACCTTCTACAGTTCCAAAGTGACATCCTAAAGGGACAGGCAGATGGGTAGGACGTCCTCACGGTGACAACAGCCTGATACAGTATCTCATCAGGGAACTGGAACAGGGAGTCAGACTCCCAAGACCATACTTGGGGGCCCAGTGAGTCCACCTGCTTCTGTGGCCAAAGCCGGGCCTCCCAAGGGAGGCAGCCTTCCTCTGTGGCCGATTCCCATCGCATGTGGCCTGAGCCAGCCCAGGAACTGTTATTTGTCATGAAGGCAGAGGTGGTCACACCAGAGCCAAGGTTCATGACATGAACACTGCCTTAGCCTTTGACCTAGAGGTTTAGTTAACTCACTGTGCCACATTCCTCGGGGCCACGAAATGAGCTGCTTCTGCAAAAAGAGATAATTTGTTCCTTCGGAGGATGCTGATAACATCGGTACCTGTTGAACACCGAGTGGCCATTCTAAGCTGGTAACACAGAAGCGAGCAATTAGTCCAGGTCTGACTACTCTGAGACTGCCAGGTGTCTTCCCGGACCTGAGAATGAAGAAACCCTCCTCTGTCCCTCACATTCTTTCATTCCTATGTAACCTTTCTTTACTAACCACTCAAAGAGAGAGTCTCTTTAAATACTAGCTGCATCTCCTATGCCAGCGCCACATGTAATGAAGGGTTTCCTCTGTGGGAGTAAGTGATACGCCTGGGTAGGTTGGTAATTCAAGGCTGTAAACCAGTGATCTTGGATAGATTTCTATTTAAGGTCCTATTTTGTTTTGCTCACACCATGAAAAAAATTGAACTGGTTGCCAACATTGAAAAAATTAGGAAATTTCAAATATTCAGATTTCCAGCTTCTCTTAAAAGACAAATCCATAAGACTGTGCCCAGCTGGCCGAAAGTGCCTGGCACTAACCAGAAGCCGCAGTCTCTCTATTTAAGGAGGGGGCGCTACAGTTTGCCTCCATCTCCATCTGAGCTTTGCTCCCTTGCTTTTAAGCTGGGCACCCCCCTACTGTGGAAGAGTTTAGCTATCTTGTTTCCTTATTTCTAAGCCTGGGGGCTACCTCATAAGAGCCCCTCAAGAACTAACATCCACTTTCTAAAATTGTACAGTGATAGTAACAGACACACATCACAGACCATGATAAAAGAACTTAGTTTTTGAAAATGATCTTATTGACACCTCAATAGACTTGTCCTAGCCAATGAACACACAAACGATTGCATACAGAATATTGATTGATTGGGAGTTTAGATGTACGGAGTTCAGCTTAGTACCTAGACATAGCCAGCAATCTGTGTGGGGAGATAAGCATTTGAAAGTTGTGGCTTCTAAGAGGTTTGAGGGGGGGTGGGAAGTGAGCTAAAGGACAGGGCGAAACAGAGGTCGAGGCCACAGGAATCTCAGTGGGGAAAAGGGAACTGGCGATAAGGAGCTGGTCCAGGGCTTAGAAAGCTGCCAAGGTCAACATGTGCTGCAAATAATACTCTTCATCACGGACTCTGGCGCCCTCTATCCCACACTCCCAGCCTGCCGTTTTCTCTCAATGGGCCATATGTGTCTGTCAGGATCCAGGAACTCACACAGAGATCATAAGATGCTGGCAGTCCTGAATGGGCTTCCAGCAGCCCATGTACCCCCCAAGATGGAAGGCAGGACAGTGCTTCTGTGTGCATTTTGTGGTAGAAGGAATCACAGTTTCCATGTGATAGTCAACAGACTCTAAGACAATCGATTCCTGTAGTAATTTACTCCAGAAGTCTTCCCTGGCATCTCTTCCCAAGGACCCCTGGCTGCAAGCACACCAGGGACTTGCCACTGGACCAGGTCAGATGGGTCCATTTGACATGGGCCAAAGATGTTTACCTGTTGCCTTTCATTTATATGATGCCAAGTTCTTGATGATCATGTTTTACTAAACTATTCCTTTCTGTTCGGGCCCATGTAATTATATGGTATCTCATACACCCTAACACTGAGGTGGCAGCTGGAGAAGGTTAAGCCCAAGACACACGCTCTGTGACATGGCCACGTGACAGGCTTCCTCTTACTGCTGGGACATCTCAGCCCATCTATCTACTCCACTGCAACCCTTTCCCCATCTCTGGTGTATGAGAGACTTTCTGGAGAATCTTCTCTGGTGAGGCGTGTACTAGGGGCCGGGAAGGGGCACTGTATAAGCTTTCTGTGGCTGCTGTAACAAAGTAACTCAAAGTAAGACTCCAAATAATAGAACTCCATAGCCATAGGTTCGAGAAGCCATGTGTCTGAAATCAAGGTGATAAAGGCTTAGCCTCCTCTGAAACCTGTAGGGAGAAGCCTCCTCACCTTTGGTTTTCCTTGGCTCGTGGATGTGTCACTCTTCTCGCTGCCTCTATCATTGCAAGAGTCCACCACGTGTCCATGTTCAAAATTCCTTCATCGTCTAAGGACATCAGACAACTATATTACTCTCCTCCCCCAATGGCCTCTTAAAGTCATTAACTTGATTATATCTATAAAGACTTCCTTTTCCAAATAAAGTCACATTCACGAGTACCAGAGGTTTGGACTTGAATATATCTCTCAGGGGACACAGTTCAACCACAGCAGACACATCACTTCAAAAGACCCCATCACCTCTGTCCCATGTGTTAGTCACCTCCTCTGCTCCACCCCATTCCTTCCCTTGGGTGACCAGGTGGGTGCCTGCCTCCCAACTGCCATGATAACTGAGCACCTTCCCTTTGGAATGCATTCTGAAGTGGGAATTTCCCCCCTGCATCTCAGCCCCGTAGGACATAAGCTTCTTCTGGATTAGGGTGTGTGGGTATAAGGTGCATCTGCAGGTGAGCATCTATGCAACTCTGTGTGCGTCTGACGTGTCTCTGTGTGAGTGTGTCTGTCTGTGTGTGTCTGTTCACATGTGCATCTGAGGATGTGTGCATCGGTGTTTGCTGGGGAAGAGGAGTGTGAAGGGTACCAGGGAAAGTAGGAGGCAGGAAGACAAGGGGAGGTCCGAACTATAGGAGTGAGAGTAGACGTGGCCAGATCAGAGTAACACTGTCCTGCAGTGAGGGAGCGTGTTCACGTGATAGACATGGAATATCCTACTGCTGGTCTGTCTCGTTACATTGATTAGGACATCAATTCTGCTACTTTAACAGAAGCCAAAGTAACAGTGGCTAAAGGAAGACCAGAGCTATTTTCTCCTCCTTACAAAGCTCCTTCTGAACTGGTGGGTGGTCTAGGAGAGGGAAGCCTCCCCGCATAGTGTTGATTAGGGACCAGCCTTGTTGCTCTGCCTGTGAATTCACTGCCCTGTTCCAGGGTCAAAGCTGGCTCACCCCCCATCTCCTAGTTACTGGGGAGGGGAAAGGGTGAAGTGGAGGACATAGCCTCTCAAGGATCACAGGACGTTGCTCTCATCACTCCCGCATCTACTGGCCAGAACTCGATCACTTGTCTTGCTAGCTGCAAGGGGGTCTGGGAAATACAGCTCTTATTCTCATAAGCCATCATCTCTGGGATTCTACTAAAGTGAAGAAGCCAGGGCACTGGGGAATAGGTGATCTATTAGAGAAGGAATGTGACTTTGGAAACAGCATTAATTTACCCCTCATCCCTGACAATAGCAACAAAATAATAACCATGGTTTCCACACAGAGAGAAGAGAAACACAGGGTTAGAAAAGGCAGATGGTCTAGTAGGAACTGTCCAGTTTTTTTTTTAAGATTCATTTATTCATACAGAACTGGGGTACAGGCCAGAGATGCAGGGGGTGAGAGGATTCACCAGAGACAGCGTGGGGAGCAGAACAGGCAGATCGTTGAAGTGCACTGCTGAGGGGAGCAGCGGTCGGGTCAGGAGAGGTCTGCCGCGCCCTGTGGGTCACCAGGGCGGGGATGGAACTCACACTGAAGTGGCTTCAGTTTCTTAGCGCTGTGCTTTCACCCGCTGAGCCACAGGGGAGGGCCCAGATCTGTCCAGGTCTAAGCAGCGTGTGGTCAGGACAAAGGCTTACTCTCGGGAAGGTATGTGTTGGGTTGCTCTGCAGCCACGGGGTTTTCCAGCACGAGACTCGCTCTGCAGCTCTCCAGAACCCGGGCCTGGAAGTACACCTTGTCCTTCTTGTGCCAGGCGTCCGACTCAATGTACACATTGAACGGGTCGTGAGAATGCTCCAGTTTCTTGGAACGGATGTAGCTCAGCATGATGCCGAGAGTGAAGAAGCTGAAGAAGCCCAGCACCATGAGGATGTACAATGCTTCCAGCTCACCCTCGCCGCCGCTGGGGGACTTGCGCGCCAGGCTGGGGGCGCTGCTGCCCAGAGGAGCTGGGCCCTGCCACAGGCTACTCAGAAAGGGCACTGTCGCTGTAGAGTTGGATGGCACCATCCTGGGCTTGGAGGTGCTCTTGCTGGAGGGCGAGCTTCCTGGGCAGACTTCTGAAAGAAAGAGGCGGGCTGAAGTCAAAGGGTGTTGGCCCACACCCGCAAACGTACACACGCACACACTGTTGATTTTTTTTTTAAACCCCAGGCGCGGTGAGGGAGCGCTCACACACTCCCATCCATCACCGGGCCGCCTGGGGGCTGCTCAAGGACCCCTCTTGCCGGATCAGCCAACTCTCCTGTTTCCCTTAGACTCTCGACCCCCAGCCCCACCCCCAGTGGTGGCTCCACAGTGAGCCCCGCTGATGACCAGGGCTCCTGGTGCGCTCTCCCTTCTCTGCTGTGCATTGAGTTGTGTCCTCCCAGCTCACAGGCTGCAGCCCTCGCCCCTCACTGAGCTGGAAACTGTGCAGGCGGCAGTTCAGGCAAAACGACCTCATAACCTGCAGGTGATGCCCTAACCTTACAGGACTCACAAGGACAAAGAAGCTTCTCTCTGCCTCTCTCCTCCCTCTGTCTCTGTTGTCTCCTCTCTCTCTCTCTCACTGCCCCAGGAAGACACAGCTGCCTGCTTCCAGGAGGAACCAGCTTTGTCTTGGCTGGATGCTCGCAAAACTGAGAAGCTCCATGTCTTCTGTTTGCGCCCCAGGCCGGTGTTCTGAGCCAGCAGCCCGAGTGGACGGCGGGCAGTGGTATCAGGCCACCCGCTTCCTCTGTCCCTTTCCCTTCCGCACTCCGTGGCCAGGCACCGAGATCACATGTGTCTGCCTTTACATCCATGGTGCGATTCACCTCTCTCCATCTCGCCCGGGGCTGGCGACCTGAGGTCACTGCCCATAAACAAAGGGCATCCCTGTTCTGCTGAGGACTGAGGGGATCACACCTCTTGTGTGGCCAGTGTCCAGCTAGCTTCTTGGGCCAGCTTGGGCAGGACGGGGAGAAACCCCAGGGGCGTTGGTGGTTGCTGGGCTCTGAGCAGGTGTGGGGGGAGGACCCGCTCAGGCCCCAAAGTGACCAGCTGCAAGTTTCTCAGGAATGAATGTGTTGTGTTTCCTGCTTCACTGAGAGCCAGTGCCAGGGGTTGGGGGTTGGGGTTCCAGGTGTGCCTCTTCACAGCTGACAACGGCGTCTACCTTCCTCACCCCACGGAAAAGTCAGTCAGATGAGGCACACCTTTGCCTGTGGCTTTCCCTGGCGGCTCTGGGGCTTTTGAGTCTGTGCCCAGAGCTCTGTTAGAAGTTAAGCTGTGCAAGTTCAGGAAACTCCCAGCTACTGATGTTTACACAAAATGACCATTTTGCCCCATTTTAACCAGCGGGGCAGGCAGGAGTCACGTGGTAACAATTTTTGCTGTTAGATGGAGCTGGTGGGCGGCTGGAAATCACTCAAATACAGAGCTCCAGGCAGCTGGACACGACGCTCAACATTTTCTTCTTCCATGACCTGAAGCCACTTCAGCAGGCATTGACCAGGCCCTGGAAAGCCCATGGGCTTTGAGCTGCTGGTATAATCTTTTCCAAAAACCCAGGATGACCACCATTGGTAAGTAGTCCTGCTACCAATGAGTGCTGGAGAGTTCTTATTACTTAATGGCCGTGCAAGGCTAGTAAGAGTGGCCATGATCTCCAGATGTAACTTCATCGCTGCACAAAACAAGTGACTTCTGCTGTGAATTCAGATGGGGGGACGGGGGTGGTTTCACAGGAGACCTGCTACTTAAAACCAGATGGACAACTCTGAGGCTGGAGGAAACAACCAGAACATCTGCTTTGAAAAGCTGCCAGACCAACCATTCCCGACCTCATGTCCAAATGAGGACACTCTGCTTTTGAAACCACCATCAGGAGACCCCCTTGCCCACTGGGAGGGTGCTGGGCTCCTGGTATGGTCAGGGCGGGAAGGTAGCAGCATCAGGGCCTCAGGAAGCCAATTCCAAGCAAAGCCTCCTGGAGGCTCAGCCTGTATGCAACATCCCCCAAACCAGCCTTCTTGGGCCCAGAAATAAGAGGGTTTCTAGACGTTTCTGATCTACCTGGATTTGAGTCTTTCCGGGAGGCATGCTCCCCAGTCAAGGTTAGAGCTATTTTCCCCTCTACTCAGACACAGAGCTGCTGGAAGAGTCACTCAGAATTCAGGGCTGTGGGCAGGCAGCTGAGCCAGATGGCTGTTCCCCATCATGCTGGGGTGCATGGGGGCCCAGCTGCACCCGGAGGAAGGGGAAGCCGTGAGGTCACATGGTCCTGGCACAAACTAGGCTCTCCAGCATCTGACCCACACGTCCCAGCTATGACTCTTATCAGCACTGATAACAGTCTGGAAGCTTTTAAGACAGGTTCAGTAGTGTGGCAATCCTGATCATTGTTAAGTGCTCACTGAGGCCAGGCTGCGGCTTCCCCAAGCTTTGTTCTGGGAATGGTAGACTGTGGGGTGAGTATGGGAGGGGAAATGCCAGGCTCAGAAGTCAGGGATCCAAGTTCCACCCCCGGGTGAGCCCCCAAATAGACTACAGGGGCCCCCTGGACCATCACGAGGTAGAGCGGGAAGAAGGTCGCACTGTTCACCCACAGCACTGCTAACGCTGCCCCACGCTCTTTCCTCGAAAGACCACCCAGTCTTCGCCTCGCCACTAGGCCTTGTTCCAGGAAGCAGATTTAGGGTTAAAGCAGTCACGGACAAGCCTGTGTTGATGAAGATCATCTGGCCAAGTCAAGACTCCTGAGTCCATTTTCCTGGGAAGCAGCTGTCGGTTGTCGACATCTTTATCCCAACATTAGGACCCAGTTCTGAAGTCAGATTTACCTCCTGACAGGACAGAAACCAAGGGGCTCCCCGGACCTCCAGACCCCGGGCAGCTGGCTGGCTTGGTCCTGACCATCGCCAGGAGGCGGCCAGTTACTAGGGTGCCGGGGTCCCAAGGACCCGGGGTGTAACCCGCCTAGAGGTGCTGTCTCATCTGTCCTGGCAGACCCCAGAGGGGCGCCCCCTCTCCCAACCAGACATGGGTGTGGCTCTGAGTCTGGTCACAAACTGTGGGTGGGAGCAAGGGAGCTTTGGGGTGTCGAGGGTGGAACAGGAACCAGCCACCTGGTGAGGGGAATGCAGGGACATGGAAGGTGGGAGAAAGGATAGGACGAAGGTTTTGGTGGAGGGCGGAGGGCACAGGGACCCCCCAGGGCACAGGGACCTCGCACCGGAGGAGGGCAGCTGATGTCTGATGGAAGAAGGGAGATGGACTCCACCTTGCACAGATCGAGTTGAATCAGAAAGCCTCCCGGTCCTCGTCTGAAAGCCGGGAGGAATGGAACCCCCCGACGACCTCAGAAAGCCTCCGGGTCCTCGTCTGAAAGCCGGGAGGA